CGATCAAGGCCCAAGAGAATGTTTTAGCTTTTTAATTTTGAGAAAAAAAAATTAAATCTTAACTTTTTCAAAAAAAAAAACTCTTTTCAGTTCGTTCGTGTTCTTCCAATGATTTAAAAAATGTATTTATATATGATGAATATATTATCACGTTATATATCTAAATGTATAACATATTACTTCAAACACAGACAAGTATGAATTTTTATTATCCGAAGTTAGAGTTTTTTGTATATTTATTTGGATGATCATTTAATTGAGTGAATTTTTTTCAACTCGTTTTAATTTCTTCTAACTTCTAATTTCTTCTAACATCTAATTTTGAAATTTATACTCAAAAGAACAGGTCCATTTGATTTTTGGAAAATTTCTTTAGTGATTTCATCGATTATATCCATAGCAAAGACTTGATTTTCTTCATGAGGGTGTTTCATTGCTTCACAAGGACTAAATTGAATTATCTCACCATTGTTAAAGTACCCCATGAACATCAATTTTAGCTCGGGTTATTTTCAAAAAAGGTCTTCCCAACAAAATGGGAATGTCAGTTTTATACTCCCATATCAAGAATGTAAAAATCAACAGGAAAAATGAAGTCATTAACTCTCACTAAGACATCTTCTAAAATCCTCTCAGGATAAATATGACTCCTATCAGCCAATTGAATCACTACCCTGTTCTCTTTAGGTCCCCAATTTGGAGTTGTTCAAAGATATCCTTGGGCATGCCATTTATTGAAGAACCTAAGTCTAATATTGCCTTGTCAAATTTTAAACCCCCTATCTGACATGGAACAGTAAAAACTCCAGTATTCTTACATTTTGGGATAATTTATTCTAAAAAACAGCACTTATATTCTCACTCATCAACACCTTTTCAGTCCCAGAAAGCTTATTCTTATGGGTGCAAAGTTCTTTAAGAAAATTGCCATATTTGGGGACTTGTCTGATTGCTTCTAAAAGGGGGAGGTTTATTCCTTAGTTTTTCTTAAAATGAGGTTTAGATGGGGTTTATCTAGCCTCCAGTATGTCTAAAATCAAGAAATAGATGTTTATGACTCTTCAAAGAAGATTTGAAGTAGATTTGGAGTAATTGAACAGTGATTAGGACTTTGAAATCCGATCTAGCGGTCATACGATACCTAGGTAATGGGTGATAGTAGCAAATTACTTTATGATGGTAATGAGCTATCGGTACCACTATTTAGTAGAGGTAGCGCGTTACTGTGTAACTATGCAAACCAAGGACGAGAATTGTATCCATGTATCAAGTGGCGGTAGTGGGATACCGTGTAACAGTACGCAAGTACCGCTACCACTTTACTTCTTTTATCATATATTCATATTCCTTTTAATATATGTTTCTTTTGAAAAAGTTTATTCAATTGAAGAGCACACATTTGTAACTTAAATTTGCACAATTGTACTTTGAACACAACTCAAGACTATAAAATACTCGTTTTGGCATCCTTTTTCGGAGAGCGAAACAACTTTGTGGAAAATGATTTTTGTGATTGTACTTGCAGAGTAAAACACTTTTCACAAAGGCTTATTTGACACATCAAAACCTATGAGATGAGGCATCCAAAGGCAATAGTCCGGTCGCCAACAGCTACACCCTACCTCTCTTAATAACTTTGAGACCTGCCAAGAGATTTAGCTAAGAGAAAGATAATTTGAAGTAGAAAAATAATACCTGGATTATCTCTATTTTTCCACTAGCCAGACCATATAATGAGACTGTTAGAAATTTGCTAATAGTTACGGAGTATATACTAGTAGCTTGATAATCTCTACACTACTGTTCATCACTCGAATTTACACCCCTTAATTAGCAATTACACACAAATGAGTCAAATAATGTATTCCAAACAATATTCATGCTTAATGTTTAACACCTTTGATAAGTAAACACAATAAAATCACGTTTTCACAGCTTCATTGACCTCAAATAGAATAGTAAAGATGCTTCAATAGGTACTGTTCGAGCAGCGGATGGTCTCCTCTACAACCGCAATGTTCCGCTGACAGATTACATGCCTAGCTTTGATGCAGATGAGGACATGTATGCATACATTTTTAGATGTGTGAAAATCAATATTTTGTTAATTCAAAATGAATATTCACAGGGTGTACATATCTCTAGGTACGCTGAATTTTAAGGTATACGTTCTCCCTCAAGAGTTGAGCCAATCAGTGAAACAACCAAACCGGAAAACGGCCAACGTACACCGCGGGCCATAGTGCCACTGCAACAATCTGACTCTACCGGATTTATTGCTCTTTACATAATCGAAAAATGGGCCGATTCAACGGCCACTGCTTTTCAGTGGTCACGGAAGCCACTGCTTCGATTCAGAGATTTACGGTGCTCTGTTCGTAAAATTGATGATTCCTATCCCCTTGACCCCCAGTTAACTCCCTACACAGTCCCGACCCCAACTCATCCCCACCCATGTCAATTGCACCCCGTAAGTTTAGTTGACGTTAAAGTAAAAAATTAACTTTAAGGTCAGCTAAACTTGCGGGGTGCAATTGATATGGGTGGGAGAATAGGTTAGGATTGGGACTGGGCGGGGGACTACCGTGGGGCTAGGGGGATAGAAATAATCAATTTTATGAACGGAGCATCAAAGAGAAGCAGTGGCTTCCATGGCCACTCAAAATGAGTGGCCATTGAACCCAGCCGATCGAAAAATCCATCTTTTATAACTCACAATATATGATTGTACTCGATAGTTGTTTATTAGTTTCTCCTTCTCTAAATGAATTGCACTTTGCCCAAAGCAAAATAATTAAAAAAAAATCAATTCATTTTATTTAAAGATTGGTATAGAAATAAAAAATAAATTTACATATTTAAAAATTATATAAAAAATTCTTCAAAACTTTATGTTACAAGAATATTTACTTTTATAAAAATCAATGAAAATGCAAAATAAATAAAAGACCATAATTTTGAAATAATACAGATTTACAATATGAAATTTGTACTAAATAACACTAAAATATACGGAGTATGTCTTTTTTCAAGGTAGAACTTAAATTTTTTAGTTCTCTAAATAGTACTTGAATATATCTAGTGACGGGAAGAATGTCTAGTGATGGTGGATATTTAGTTTGACATGTCCAGTGACGATGAACATTTACTTGAACAATGACCAGTGGACATTGAATAGTGGTACTATATTGAAAAATAAAAAATAATACTACATTGTGAAAGTCACTATGCTTTAGTACTATTTAAATAAATTTTCTAAGAATACTCTAATAAGATTAGAAAGCTTATGCAACTATAAATATCCCCAAAGATTTCAAATAGAGGGAGTTCTTTTTGCTTGTTGTTTCAATATATTTGTATTGAAAAATAAAAAATTATCCTTTCTTTTTAAAGAAAAAACAATTTGGTCCTCATTTTTTAAAGAATAAGTCTAAAATGACACCAGTGTTACTGGTGTCATTTGCTTACACTAATTCGTTTGGGATAGCTAAAGTGCCCCGTTTGTAAAAATGACGGTTCTTACCCCCTAACCCTCCCCATAAACCCTCCACCCCAGCCCCACCCTTGCCCCCCTACCCCAGCCCNCTCCCTATCCTATACTGTCAGGGTATAGTAGGGAGGGGGAGGGAGGGGGGCTGGGGTAGGGGGGCAAGGGTGTGGCTGGGGTGGGGGGTTTAGGGGGAGGGTTGGGGGGTAGGAACCGTCATTTTTACAAACGGGCCACCGTAGTTATCCCAAATGAACTGGTGTAAGCGACTGGTGTATAAGTAACTGGTGTCATTTTAGACGCTCCCTTTTAAAAAATACTAGTCGCATATGGTATTCATTATTTCTCTTTCTTCTAAATAAACTACAATCATACAAATTCTACTAGGGTTAACCCCGTGCTTCGCACGGGCTCGTATATATTCTAAATTTTTGTGATTGTATAAATATAATTTTAGTTGTTTTAGTTTTTTAATAGTGACAAAATATATTTTAAACTGGTTGAATATATATTGGTATGTTATATAAAAACAAACAAATTCTACAAAATTAATGGTCATTGAATTTAATACTAATAAAAAAGTTTAAATTAATAAAATATTTTAATTAAAAGTGGATTAATTATATAATGATACATCATTAGAGAATGTATATGTGTCATAATGTTACTTGTCAGTCGTTACCATTCAACGAAAGCAATTTTATTTTATTTAGTTTGTTAAAAAATCTTTGTAGCAATAGAATAAATAGTGTAATAAGATAAAATTTTTGAAACAAATTATTTAATTAATAAATATGCATATGTGATTAAATTTATATAATCATTTTTTAAAAAGTAATAAACTAAAATAAGTTTTGGATAGTATAAAAATATTTATATATATTTATATACTCCCTCCGTCCCCAATTTGATTACAAATTGCGGGTTACGGAGTAAAATTTCATACTTTTTGAAATCATTTTATTTACAAATTGGTGTATCAATAAGATATAAAAATTACATATTAAAAAATACGCCAAAAGTTTTACAAAATAAGAGGTGACAAGAATATTTTATTTTATCAAATACTTGATGAAATCGTGTAAACGAACAAAAGTTATCGAGAGGAGAGAGAAAAAAAGATTGTAATCTATTTAGGGACAGAGGGAGTATATAATATGGAGTATATTTTACAATGATGAAATATATATTTATAGAATTATTAAAAAATGAAAAAGTTTTATGCAAATGCATTCAAAGATCTTTTAGAAAATTCAAAATGGACCAATGAGTTGAAATGCATAAATCCACATCATTAGTGAGTGCACATGTGGCATGCCACATGTCAACACTTCAACAATTGAACTCTCTTTTACATATATACTAGCATTTTGACCCGTGCCATGCACGGAGTTGAACAAAATCTTTTTTTATTCTAAAATTTTGTTCAATACAATATTTTTTTGAAATAAAGATAATATATTTCTCACAAATTTTTAATAACACAGAAGAAGACAAAGTATTTAACATAGTTTCTTTTAATACTAAATTTTCTAAAAAAATCTCAGGGTGTAAAATATTTTTGGTATAGTTGTAAGGGTTTTCATTTTCATCTAGAAAAAATATTTTTAATGGTTTCTTTGTATTCACTTATGAAATAGAAACATAAAACTCACCATGAGTGAACACTGACTTAGTTAAAATAATCCAATAAATGACAATATTCGATCTTGATTTTTGTTCAATGTCATTGCAAAACTTAAAACCATTCGGAATTGACTTTTTTGGAACTTCTCGGTAGTCCTAGACCGGATGGTGCCAAATTCATATGGGATATATAAACCTTTTCCCCGACTTGATTTCACAAAACCAACAATAACACTGATAACATTCTTCCCCCCACCCCATCGGCTTTAAAATTATTTTATGGTTTAGGATCCCCAAACATTTGGTTTTATTTTCATAAGTTATTCTTGAGGAGTTAACTTATGTCTAGAATCAAGAATTCGGGTAGAATATCAACGTCACTTGTTCCATCAATCATTTTTCCAAGCTTTCCATCTCAAAGTTTGAGTATTCCATCAGAAAAAACTCGTGTGTCCTATCCGTGTAAGAGGGAATTGATGGATGCAATCTTACTCTTCGTTAACGTATAAACTTTACAATAGGACCACAATTTTGATGAATTGATGGTAGCACCTACTAGTCAATTATGTTTTGTCTATTATGCACGCAAAAGCTTGATGAATTTACTGTAAAATTGTTATCTGCTTAAAGCACTGTATAGATAATTTTTTAGAAAAAATGTCATAGAAATATAAAATGTTTAATTTGAAATACAAATACCATGTGTCACATCACATAACATATATATTACTTCTTAAAAGGGTTTGATTATGCGTGGCTATAGTCAATGACGATCCATCTCTTTATGTATATGTAATATCTAAAATAAAATTATACTAATATTTATCTCATTAAAAAAAGTACAAATGTTTTTTGTACTTTTTTTGGCATGCGTTATAAATATTTTTTTATTTTTTTATACATAACTTTTTAGAATAAAAGTTCTGGGCCATAATGCCTTTCTTATATATATTAGAATAAAAGCTTTGGTCCATAATGCCTTTCTTATGTATATTTTAATCCACTATAAAATTTTTATATTTTAACCATCATTAAAATACCATTGTCATCATCATTATTATTACTATTATTCAACACCGGACAAAATTTTAATCGGAGTTCTTTATAAATGATAGTTTTTCAAAAATAGAAGCTTTGGGTTACTTATGATGCATATGTACTAATCATTATATAAATCTTTATTTTGAAAAAAGTAAAAATGGAAAGTGGTGGGTAATTTTACAAATTTACATAAAAATAAATTTATCTTGTCGGATATTTTCAATATTAATTAAAATATTTGTAACTGCATATGTCCTTTTCCTTATTCCTTTAAATATTTTCCATGTTAGTGAAAATATTTATATGAAACTCCACATGGAATTTCCCATTATTTTATAATTTATAAAAAGTATGTATGAATAATTTAATGAGTTACAAAAAAACATACAAATATATTGATTTTTGCCAAAGTTTTCCTCATTTAAAATTTAATATATAATTTTATTTCTAAAATAATAAAGTAATTATGTATATTAAGAGCTTTAATAAGGAAACTTCCATTCAATGCTCTTGGTGACATGAACGATGAGGTGTTAAAAAAATTGTCTAGTCAGCGTGCCAAATGTCGTAATTCTGGAAGCTCAACTCTCCTTTTTAAAGGATAAAGGATATAGGATTTTACTAATGAGTGTTTCTCTTTAGTCCACCTTAAGTACATATCATTTTATGGATCTTCTCATATAATTTTTTTTTTAAACTCTATTAAAAATATATACTTATTTAAATAGTAATAAAATATTTACTTTACTCATATATAAATTCATGGTATATCTTAGGTCCATCATAGAATTTAGCTATATTAAAAATGATGACAAATTAAATAAAGAAGAAAATTACTCATAAAAAGAATCAGATCTGGATCCAGGGCAAATTCAGGAAGAGGGGCCATTGGTTTCCAAGAACATCATCATATCCATGACCATCATCCATGACTTTGAGTGATGTCCAAAAGATCGGAGGAACTTCAGCGAAGAAGCATTTTATCTGGCTCGGTGCTCCGTAGTTTCCGTGTCCAACCTTCTCAAGTTCTCCCACATCACTATCATTGTCGTTTTCCAATCATAACAGAAGAAAAGTTCACACCATTTTTAATATGGAATAGATAATTAAAGAATATCAGTCCTTCACTATAAAATAAATAAATATTAAAAAAATTGATATATCAAAACTATATTTTAACATTAACCTTATTATATTCAATTTGGAGTAAATTCTTAAAGGCTTGTTTGGTACACAGAATTCAAACTATGGAATTGGAATTGAAGACAATAATTCCAATTTTGTTGTTTGGTAACACAAAAATATGTGGATTTGGAATTGATGGTGCCAAAAATGAATTGGAATTGGAGAACTCAATTCCATCCAAATCAATTCAATAGAATTTCAATTCTCAATTCAATTCCAACTCAGTCGATTCCGTGTACCAAACGGACTCAAAATGGTTATCTTTAATAAAGTGTTTTCTCAAATTAGTTTTAAATAAGTTTTAATTATTTACTTGATTCTCTATAATTGAGATTTATTCTCTAAGTAGTCCTTTATAAATAGTATCACTCAAATCATGATTAACTGAGGGTTATTTTGATATTTTTTATCAGCTAAATTTATAGTAAGTTCTTAAAAAGATCATTTCTAATAAAGTATTTTCCCAAAATAATTTTTCTAATTAAAAATGATATTTTATTAGCTAAATTCATGTATTATGTATAATCAATGTATTTTTTAACTTTACATCGAATTATATAGAAATAACCATGTTAAGATTATACTTTAAATTTAAATGATAAAATATCAAAATATTCTTTAATTAATCATTATGTAAATAACATTATTTACAAAGGATAACTTAAGGATTAATTAATCTCAATTATAAAGGACCACGTAAATAAATAGAATTTATTGAGGATCGAATTAGAAAAAATATTTTATTGCATTAACTTATACTCCGTATAAATTTTACCACAACAATAAAGATACTATGTAAGAAATTATAAAATCTAATCAGATACGATTTGAATTTTGAAACACAAGGCTTTAGGCCTCGTTCCGTTCAACTTATTTTTTCTTATTTTTTTTATTCTTATTAAAATCAGACCAGATCAAACAAGATCAGGTCAGATAAGATCGAATCAGATAAGATCAGATCGAATCAGATCAGATCAGACCAGATCAGATCAAATCAGATAATATCAAAAGAGATCAGATCCAATCAGATCAGATCAGATCAGACCAGATCAGATCCCATGAAGAATTATTATTATTATTATTATTATTATTATTATTATTATTATTATTCTTAAAATAAAAAAAGAATAAACTTTAGAAACAAGTTAAATATAATACTGAGAAAGTAATCCTTAATTATTAGACGTCGGAAAAAAATTATTTTTAAAATACATTGACAATTTCAATCTAATTTTTACTTTTAAAATACATTTTTTTTGCTACCTGTAATTTGAGTTTCTAAAGTTTTGATCTTTTAAAAGAATGAGATATTTTAATAAAAATACTATCTCTTCTATATATTGATTATCTAAATTTATAGATATATATATATATATATACACATATATATATATACATATATATATATATATACATATACATATATATATATATATACATATACATACATACATACATACATATATATATATATATATATATATATATATATATATATATATATATATTAAATATTTATTCTAATGTATATATGAGGTAATTATTAAAATATTAAATTAATATTCTAATTTCAAAAAAAATAATCATAAGATAAAAAAATATTATTACATTATAATATTAATGATTATTCTAATATATGAATTAACTAATTTAATTTTAAAAAAAAATATTCATAAAATAAAAAATATTGATTATATTAAAATATGAATTATCATTACAATTTTCAAACGTTATTATAAAGTCAAATCAAATTATTAATTTGAATTTTAAATCAATTCATAATTAATCAGATCAGATCAGACTAGACTAGATCGGATCAGATCCAATCAGATTCGATCAGATAAGATCAGATCCAATCAAATCAGATCAGATCAGATCCAATCAGATCAGATCAGAGCAGATCCAATCAGATCAGATCAGAACTTATTAAAATCAGGGTAGAACAAATAAGTAGAACGGAACGGAGCCTTAGTCGAAGTTAGAGTATAGAAAAATTGTTTTCTCCACCTCAAAATACCGTACCATAGAATTCGGAAAAGAGGGAAAATAAAAATGGAAAGAGAGTAAGGAATAGACTTGAGAAAAAATTACGAGTACACTAAAAGATGTGCTCTAAGTGTATACTACAGTTTCTCAATCACAAAATTCTGAGTCTGGATAAAAGGACTGAAGGATGAAACAGAATATATGGTGAGAAAAGTGATGACGTACAAATGAGGTACATTTTTTTGTGACCTCTAGCATTGCTCTAAACCTAATGGCTAGACCAAGTCCTGCATGACTATGCGCGTGTAACCACGGTGCAGGAGAGGCGCGGTGGTGATCAGATCATTGTGTGAAATGAGTTTTTTTTTAATTTTAACAAATTAAAATGTTGCACAACCTCACTTTAATTAATCAAAATAATTTACACATTCACATCTCGATACTCTTCTTCATACTCATTATACTACACATATTTTTATCACTCACATCATATCATATCTCATTTACGTCTCATCACTATATATACCACATAATATAATAGTAATTAAACCCACCAATTTTTTTTACTTTAATTTATTTAGAGTATTTTTTTATTTTGTACGGCCAATAGGTGTAGATAAACCTGACAAAACAGAACCAGAACTGATTAGCCGAACCGAATTATCTGAAATCGAAACCGAAATGATCCGGAAAATAAATATTTGATCTATAACCGAAAACCTGAAATGATCCAAACCGAACCGAAACTGAAGTAAATAATTCATATCTGATTTAGATCCAAAATTAATCATATCCAAACCGATTAAACCCAAAACCGATTAGAACCGAAACCGATAATATCGAATCTGGTTAGACTTAAAACTGATCCGATAAAATCTAAAATTGTGTTTGCCTTTCAATAAGCATATGATATTTCTAAAGTTTTACTTTTATTTTATCATTTGAACTAATAACATTACTTGCTCATTCTCTCAGCTCTTAAAATGGATTACGATATTTTAAAAAATTACAAAATTTCTTGCCTTAGATTCATTATATTTAGAAATTGAACAGAAGTTATACATATAACATATTGGATGAATAAAGTGTGCCAACTATTTTCTTATGAACTTTTCTTAAAGGGAATAAAATATTTGAAAGACAATGTGAAACATCAATTGAAAAAATTAGGTCTAAGAGTTGAAGGTAGGTGGGAATCCAAAAATTGGTTTAATGGTGGCGTAAGAAAATTGATAAGATTAAGGCTCCGTTCCGTTCAACTTATTTTTTCTGATCTGATCTGATTCAAATAAGTTCTGATCTGGTCTGATCTGATCTGATCTGATCTGATCTGATCCAATTGAATCTGATCTGATCTGATTGGATCTGTTGGAAAACATTTTCACTTTGACATTTTGCTAATGACAATGTTTGTTTCCGTTTAGGTTTTGATATTGACAAACCGTCGGGAACATGGAACAAAATGAAAAGATAGAAAAAGTTCTTTGAAGAAACAAAAAGCACAAGAACGGCATTGACGTTGCTAAAGATGGCGACATTGGCGCTTTGAAGACGTATTCTAAAGACTTAGGTTTTATTGTAACAAGCTCATTCAATTTCTCTACGTCATGGCTCAAAACAAGATATGTTTTTCATGCATCAAATTAGTGTTTTCATAAATGGTTTTTAAGTTTCTAAAACCCATGGTTCTTACTTAACCAAAACCATAACCATCGGTTATCGGCGTTCGGTTTTCGGCATTGGTTATTGGCATTGATTTTAACCAAATGGTTTTTGGGTTTTTATCCTTAGTTTATGCTTCTGGACACATTTAAAGGTTTTCCAAATGATTAGTTTTCAAAAACCATAACCTCTGTTTTTCGGTGTTGGTTATCGGCATTCGGCGCTGGTTTTCGGCGTTGGTTTTTGGTGCCCAAATCAATCAAGTGGTTTTTACGATTTTATGATTGGTTTTTACTTCTGGGCATATCCAAATAGTTCTCCAAAAAAAACATGTTAAAAACAACCTTTCGTTTCTGGTCGTTTGGTGAAAACCATGTAGAACGGCATAAACTTGGCTAGCCGTGGTTTTTACCTTAATGAAGTGGTTTTTAAGTTTTTATACTTGGTTTCTACCTAAAATACATTATATAAGAGTTTCCAACACTTGGTTTTCATTTTGGAGAACTTTGGTTTTTGACATCGGTTTTCGGTGTTGGCTGCCAAACCATGGTTCTGTCAAACCATCCCGACATGCATGTCGGAAATCCCAACAGCGCTGTAGGGCT